CACATGCCAGTAATCCCAGTGGCTCAGGAGGCTGAGACAGAAGGATTGAGTTCAAAACCAGCCTTAGCAACAGAAAGGCGCTCAGCAACTCAGTATAGGGCTGGGGATATGGGTCAGTGGTTGAGGGCCCCCAAGTTCACTCCCCAGTACCCCTCTCCAAAGAAAAAGTTATACAAATTTACTCAGCCACCAAGCAATAATTTGTCATTTAAACCAAGTCAGTGATGTAGTAGGGAAAAATAAAAATCTCTTCAATTTTACAATTTGCTTTTAAGGATATTGCTAGGGACAAAAAACTTTAACCAGAATTAGTTACTGATTATATTTCCTCATTTATACAATCAACACAATTGTGGAGGGAGTGTGCTATTATAGTAGAAAAGAGGAAGGACTTTAGGATGCATCTCACAGCAAAGAGCCAGACATACAAGCACAAACCACAAATGATTTCCCATCCATTTACATACAAAAGAAAAACAGGAAAACTAAAAGGAGGGATGAGATCAAAAAGGAGAATTTGATCACTTAGCTAACATTCTAAAGAGTCACCGCAAAACCATTCTTTCCAAGTAAGAATCAGCTTTGGAATTGTAAGAGTACAATGTTTTCCCAAGCACTTAAGATTTTTAAAAATAGGGCTGAGGTTATAGTTCAGTTGGTAGAGCGTTCGCCTCACTTGTGTGAGGAGGTACTGGGTTTGAGCCTCAGCACCACATAAAAATAAAATAAAGATATTGTGTTCATTAAATATTTTTTTAAAATATTTTAAAAGAAATTTTTAAATAGGTGTTTACATTTATCAAGCACTTGCTATTAACATAGCTGTCACTTGTCAACTGATCTTTTTGACAAACCTAGGGGTGGGTACTAATTATTAACATTTTAAATAGGAAATACCCTGATGCTTAGGGAGGCCAAGTTACTTGGTTGAAGTGATGTAGCCTCCATTCAAACCCAAGCAGCTTACCTTTCGCCCAAGCAGGAGGCTGTGACTCCTTTTCCTAGCTATTGCTACCCTCCAGGCAGGTTAACACAAAGCAAATGGATGATGCCCGTCAGTTTTGGAGAAAGATATTCTATCCTCACCCATCCTATTACTTCTACCTGCTCACATGTGAATGAATTTGCCACTACAGTCCAGACTTAATTAGAAAAGGGTGACTGACTCTAAGATCCTAATGCTAGAACACATTTCAGGAGTGATATACTTGAACCTCACCCCACCCCCATCAACACCAGCCCAGATGCTTCTAAACTCTGAAGCAACTTGGCCTGATCACATTGGAGCAAGCCAGGCAAGTTTGGGATGTCACTTCTCATCAAGTACTGAAAGAGTGTTCATTGTTACACAAACTATCATTAACTTCTTTCTTCATGTCTTCTAGGCAAATGCCTGACTTGTTTGTTAAAGCAAGTCGTGTTGCAAAAGTGGAAATTTACTGTTAATCTTTCCTTACCTTTCCAAACAAAAGTGTGTGGTAGGAGGGAGGGGCCACACCTGCACTGATGAATGAATTTATCATGCTGAGAACCATCTGCTAGGGAAGGTAAAACCCAGACACAGGTTTTTCACACAAACATGTAACCAATTCCCAATTTATCAATTAAAATTCAATACAATGTGAGCTCATATAAAAATACCAAATGGTTAACAATTTTTCCTTTTTAAAATATAACTTTAATATTGACATGTACAACTATGATATAGACATAAACTACTAAATTCAGACAACTTAATAAACCCAGAGGATTATTCATTGTGACTAACTCAAGGATAAAAAGAGCCCAAATTTTCCAGTTTGTTTTACCATCATCCTTTCCTGAGTACTTTTTGTATAAAACTGTGCTAAGGTGATCTAAACTTTATTAAGAGACTTGCATGTAACCATGATAAATGGTCTGGTTTATGTTAGCATGATCTCCTATAATTGTCAAATTTCTAAGTAACTTTCCTGCTCCTTGTTTCAGAGTGTACTCTTGGTCCCTGTCTCAGGCCTTTTAGATACTGCATCTACCTAGGAGGGTGGGGGGGCAGTGAAAAGGAAAAGGTAGGAGGAGTCCTACGCACACATCTCTTTACCCACAGCAGCCACTAAAACCATTGAACTGAAATAAAAATTCATATGAAGTCGATCTTCAAATAAAGTAAGGGACAACAGAAAAGATCAGAAAGCTGGATGTTTCCAGGATTGACTTACAACAGAGAGATGATCAGCCAGTTGTTAACCAGGACCCTTAATCCTTAACTAGGAAGAAAAGATATGGAGCAGACCCGTGTTGAGTTTTCAACTTGGCTGTCACCAAAACTGATCTTGTATAAAACCCCTGGGTCAGGGTTTTAGCTCAGTGGTAGAGCACATGCTTAGCAGATGCAAGGCCCTAGGTTCAATTCCTAGCACCAGAAAACAAATCCTTAAAACCTACCTCTTTAGTACAAAAAAATAAATAAGGGCTGGACAGGTGATAACAAGTATAGTTCCAGCTTTGAGACAGTTAGTAACTTTTGCTTTTGATTACAACAAATTCAGAACCCTTCGTTCTAGAGTAGTGATAAATCTACACAATATTCTCACTCCTGTAACAGGATTTAACTACTGAACATGAACAACTTAACATCTGGGATGGGGAGCAGGGATAATCCTCTAAAGGCTTGCTTTATTATTTTTTTCCATTTCTATTATTTACAATTCCTCAATAGTTGTCTTCATTTTTATAGAAGGGAAAAGAGGTACACAGAGGTTAAACATGGGTTTAGTGTCCAAACAGGCTCAGTCTGCCAATACTCTCAGCAGGCTTCTTCCCTCAAATTCCTTCCTCTCTGCCATAACACTCATATAAAGGGAGTTTCTCATTGTGTCCTTAACGCTAACTGCTCTGGATGCTCTCAATTTAGGAAAGGAGGTTTCAAATTCCCCTCCTGCTTGTCTTAAAGCAAAGAGGAAAGGTGAAAAATCAACACAAAATAAGCTATATACACAAAATTAAGGCACATAAACTGGGTGGTTTAATATTAGCAAAGGCCAAACTGAAACTTGATAATGAAAATGAAGACACCGCAATATTTTCTTCAACAAAATAAACATTTGGAGGAAGAAATATTTTCTAAAAATAAATGTTTTATTTGCAAAAGCCAGTCTCTTATACAAGGTTTTGAATCTATACTTTCACTTATCAATTACAGTGGTATTTTAAATGCATTGAATAATTCACTGAATATATTTGTCTTTCTGCCTTAATTTAGAAGATATTAGGTTAAAAAATAAAAAATATTTAGTTCCAATCTGTCCACCTCCCCTCCTACCCTTATACCAGAACCATTCTCCACATTTCAGGTAAGTAAAAAGGGTCACAAAACTTGAGTTTCATGTGGATATAAGAATGTGCCCATTAATTCTAAGCATGTCATAATTTTCTTCTTAAGCCCACTCAGAAAAAGAGGATTTACTGAAACTAAGCATACTTTACAACTTCCCTCCCCATCTTTATAGGTTTGCCTAGGTCCAAATTTTTCTGGCCCCCTTGAATTTGCAAACACTGAAAAAAATGTAAAACAAAACATGACATACAAACATTTATCTATACTGAATAACACAGCCCTAACTAGAAGCAAATATAAACTGAATCACCAAAAATCAAAGGGGAAAAATTCCAGGAGACTGAAGGGGGACAGCTCAGTGGTAGGGCATATGCTTAGCATTCTTGAAAGCCCTGGGTTCAATCCCCAGGACCACCTAGACAAAAACAAGAAAGCAGCAACCAACAACACAACAAAGCCAACAGACACAAAGATTCCAATAGTCTCATAGTATAACTGAGGTTTTAGAAAAACCAAAGGTGAATATAGCTGATGCTTAAACTATCTGTCTATATTTAATTACATGTGTTGCATTTACTTAGGAGCCATGACTATAAAGTTTTCTAGACTTTAATACTTTTAAAGTGAGAAAAATAATACCCAGTGACTTCAAAAAAGACAATGATCTATAACCACTCAAAATGTTTTTGAATAGGGGAGAACAGTAATTTAGTGAAAAACACCAACAAACAAAAGGAACAACAACAACAACAAAAAAAAAACCCCACTTAGTTTCTAATAAGAATCCTGGAAAAGGTACCCGAGAGATGTTGACAAATACTACGTGGCTAGGACTGTCAAGATGTTTCTTAAGTTTTATGCTTTAAATTTTCTAAACATATAGCTAACAGGCACAAACATATGCCAGGCAACTACTGATGCTAGAAAAATATTTTAGTCAGCATTTTATAAAACCTCCAACTTCGAACCAACATTTCTGTTCATAAGTGTTCCAATAACAATGTCTGACAATACATTACAAATAACAATGAAGCAAAATTAAGTTTCAGAGTTGCCTCAAACAAGTTAGTTGTTATTTTCTTTTAATGTGACACTTAAAATAGATGAATTCAGCAGAATGGTTTAAAAAGTTAAGGCTCTCTAAAGACTAAAACTTAAGGCACATGTTATAATCTTTTTGACACTATTAAAAGCTAAGATTAAAATAAAACAAGACAAAAAAACGCTACTTCTTTCCACACACTTTGCCAACCACTCCCTCCCCACAGCATATGATATTTTCAATTCAGGCTATTGGTAAGGAGTGAAACAAAAACTCCATCATGAACACTGGTATGTTTTCCACACAAATGTTCACTGTCTGTATTGAGCACCACTGATAGACTACAGGCCAGTAGAGTATTTTCAGAAGTCTTGGGTCACCAACTGCTCCATTTACGCTCTAGCCTCTTTGGTTCAGACTGGACTCTCTTCCTCTTTGGGGTCTCCTGTGTGTTTTGGCTTTGGAGATTCTGCTGCTTTAGTAACTTCTTTTGGATTATCACCAACATCCATTCTGGTCTCCTCCTCTTTACCTTCCTTTTTCTGCTTCTCATCTGATTTCTGTTCTTTTGCCAAAAGTCGATAATTGATTCCCATGCCAATGAAGAGATAGATACCAGCAAAAATTAGGATCACACCACATGACCAGTATGTGTATTTGTAGTCTCCATACAAGTCATTGAGACGACCTAGAGAGATAAAAAAGAAAGAAAGCAATGAGGGTAAAAACAAAGTATTAAGGATCCTGTCAGAAAAAAAAAGATGTTGATCCAATCTTCTACAAGCCCACAAATGACAAATCAGTATAAAAAGGAATTTCTAAAAATTATCTATTTAGAGTCACCTTGTATATTGTTATTTTTGGCAACTTGAAAAATCATCAATTCTCGGGCAAATTTGAGTTAGCAAAGACCTGGAGATCAATCTGCAATCAAACCCCTCAATACATAATGGAAAAAGTGTTGCTCAGAAGAGGTCTGGGACTCTTGTCTGAGGACACAAAGCTATTCCAGTTACAAGAGGCCAATGCTCTTTCTCTAGCAGAACTTCCCAAAGAGCGTCCTGTGAACACTTGCCCTGTGCTGGTAACTAAACTAACAGCAATACTTAGCCACCATTCTAAGCACTTCATTTTGACAGGCACATTCCATGGTCATCCTCATTGTATAGATACAAAAACTGAAGTACAGAGACATAAGTAACTTATCCAAGGTCATAAAACTAATAAATGCAACCATTTGGCTTTAATCTGGGAATTCTGACCCCTGGGTCTATTGTGCAACAGTGAGCCGAATGTTTCAAAGGTCAAAAGAATTTGGGGTGGCATATCCCTTCCTTTTATCTTCAAGGCTTTGTGAAGTCTGATAGTAAAGAAATCCATTTAACTTGGTGTTTCTACAGGAGGACCAGTTAGGATTTTACCATTAGGATCAGGAGGAATAGGAAACAGGAGTTTGGTTAAGGGTGGTAGTTGTGATGGAGAAAAATGAGCATTAGAAAGAGATTAAGGAGATGAAATTTGACAGAATTTGTAAACTCATTGGGAAGAGAGTGGAGGAAGAGAGCCTTATGAAAAGACAATTGTAGCCAGGCATGGCGGCATAATCCCAGCCAAGTGGGAACAGAGATAGGATTGCAAGTTCAATACCAGCCTCAGCAACTTAGCAAGTCCCTCTCTCGAAAATAAATAAATAAAGATGACCGGGGATGTCATTTAGTGGTAAAGCATCCTTGGTTCCATCCCCATTATCAAAGAAAAAAACCAAAATGATAGCTGTCGACTTTTGTTCACTCCCCAAAACGAAATTCCAAAAGTATGTATCATATCCAAAAGAGGTTCACATTACTTTCTTACTTTGTGTTATCTATGGAGCTATTAATTTACAAGATGAAGTATTTAGTAACCTCAGGGAATAGTTCCCAAATTACACACTGACTTACAAGCTATATAATCTTGGCCAAATTATTTTACATTTTCAAGCTTCTATATCTTCACTTATGAAATGGGGATTAAAATAGTCCTACCTCACAGCCTTGTGAGATGCAACAGATACATACAACTTTAGTGTTGGCACCACTGTAAACTTACACAACAGCTATTATTACATTATTTCTACTGGAATAAATTCCAGCATTAAAATAAAATTCCCTGAGGGCTGGGGATATAGCTCAGTTGGTAGAGTGCTTGCCTCCCATGTACAAGGCCCTGGGTTCAATCCTCAGCACCACAAATAAATAAGTAAGTAAGTAAATAAGTAAAATTCCTGGAGCCGAGAATGGTGGTGCATGCCTATAATTCCAGCTAAAGCAGGAGGATTACAAATTCAAGCCCACCCTTGGCAACTTAGATCCTGTCTCAAATAAAAAGGGGTAGAGATGTAACTGAGCACCCCTGGGTTAAACCCCAAGTACAAAACACAAAACAACAACAAAAATCTCCAAAGTACTTTTAAAGGTGGAATCGTTCTCCTACAAAGAATGTGTTGTTAGTTTTAGTGATAGAAAATTTTTAAAATATTCTTTTAAAATATCTGATCCTGCTCCCACAATCCTTCGTGCCCTTCCTTTCCATCTTGGGCCTGGCAGAATGGCTCCCACAAAGAAGGGTAGCAAGAGGAGGGGCTGTTCTGCTATCAATGAGGTCATGACCTGGGAATACACCACCCACATTCACAACATCTGGAAATCTGCCATGATGAAGGAAATGGGAACTCCAGATAGGCGCACTGATACTAGGCTCAAAGCTGCCTGGGCTAGAGGAACAAGGAATGTCCCATATCACATTCAAGTGCAATCATCCAGAAAACATGAGGACGAAGATTCACCAAACAAGCTCGATACTTTGGTAACCCACGTCCCTGTTACCTTGTTCAAAAATCTAGTCAATGTGGATAAAAACTGTAAAACAACAACAAAAAAACCTGATCTTCTTGTACAGCTGATGGTTCCATTTTATTTGACTCTGTGTATCAGCAATTATGCTTTGTCAAGTTGTGTGCCAGCACTGAGAGCACAGAAATGAGAAACACCTGCTCTTTGTCAAACAGCTCACTAATGTTTTCTATCACTGTCCCAATCCTGTACACCTATATTTTGAATTTCTTTTTCAGTTGTAAAAGAACATGATAACTTTATTTTATTTATTTTTATGTGGTGCTGAGGATTGAACCCAGTGCCTCACATGTTGTTTTTGGATAGCAGAATCATAGAGGTAGGAAAACATACTATACCTAACAGTGGTGGCCCCAGGAGGACAGGACAGCATTCCACAATGGTCACCAATCCCACAGCGCTGGAGAACCTCTGTGGTCCAACGAGGTCCATCAGTGTTTCAAACAATACAGAGCTGAGCCACCCAAAGGCAAATCCAAAGAATCCCGCATAGATACAGAACCCAACATAGGTGCTGGCGGATAAAGGTGCTAACAAATGACATGCTCCATTTGCAATAACAGAAGCAGCAAAGAAATATTGGACTCGCGGTCTTATCCACTTTGTGTTGGCTACCAGTCCCATAGAAGGTCTGGCTACCATGTCAACAAAAGCCAGAATGGAAAGAAGGAAGGCTGACTTCTCATTAGAATAATGCTTACTCTTGCCATAATTACTAAGAAAAACCAAAGGTGTAAAGAGTCCAAAAAACATGATCACATTTCCAGAGAGATACAGCAAAAAGCCTCTGTGTGTGAACAGGGACAAGTCCAGGAACTGGTTAATTTTTTGAATATGTGAACGTTTTTCCTTTTTGCGGTTTCCTCCAATAAGATCTGTATTTGCATCACCTACATTCTTTGCATCAGATTTTCCAGCTTCTTGAAGGGATTCTTTGGACCTAACATTTTCTTTCTTTGTTGGCTTTGGCCCTATGGGTCGCATCAAGGATCCAGCTACACAGCAATTTAATAGGAGGCCCCCAAGAATTAGGAAGCTTCCTCTCCAGCCAAAGATACCAAAGAAAGCCTGATTGAGGGGGGCCAGAGTAGAGAGGAACACAGGGCTGCCAGCCATAGCCAGTCCATTTGCCAATGGTCGCTTCTTGTAGAAATACTTGCCAATCATCGTCAAAGCAGGATTCAAGTTGAAAGCAAGCCCAAGACCTAAGGGAAAGGGGCAAAATTACCTATAATAAATATCAGAAATATCTCCAATATTACTTAACCAGACAAAGAAACTAAAATAGGAGGTATAAGTAATAGAAAGGGACAAAAGAATCTCATTATTGGCTACACTCTATAGTGGTTTAAAGTGTGAATTCAAAAGTGAACTAGAGAATTCAAATCTCAGCATCACTACTTACTGGCTGTGCAACAGCCCGAACAACAAGTAATACTATTTCAAAATAAAAAATAAGCTGGGCATGGTGGTACACACCTGTAATCCCAGTGGCTGGGAGGCTGAGGCAGGAGAATTGTGATTTCAAAGCCAGCCTCAGCAAAAGCAAGGTGTTAAGCAACTCAGGGAGATCCTGCCTCTAAATAAAATACAATTAGGGATGGGGATGTGGCTCAGTGGTTGAGTGCCCTGAGTTCAATATCTAGTACAAAAAATAAAAATGGCTAGGAATGTAGCTCAATGACAGACTCTCCCTGGGCTCAATACCCAGTACTTCAGGCAAGCACTCAACTACTGAGCTACATTCCCAGTCCCATTATTCTTATATCAGTAAGAAAATGAATTTATAACAGTTGTCAAAAAACATGTTAAAAAATTATACTCAAAAGACCTAGACACAAAATGAAAAAACATTTTCTAGATTACCCCTTACTTTCCTAATATGCAGAGACAAATTACAATCTGAAGGTACTCATTACCTATTGAATTAGAAATGATGAAACAAACAAACAAACAAAAAAAAGGATACCCCATTGTTGGCAAGTACATCCTCTCTCATACTGTGGCAGGACTCTTATTCACCCTTTTCTGGAGGACAGTTTAGCATATATGTATTTAAATAACACACATAGAAGGAAGGGAATGTAGCTCAGTGGTAAAATGTTTGCCCAGCATGCACAAGATACCCAGCAAAAGAAACTGAGAAAATAAAAGACACACTGCAGTTTCCCTTAAAAACCCTTAATAGGCAGGCATGGTGACACATGCCTGTGATCCCAGCATTCTGGAAGGCTTGAGGCAGGAGGCTCATGAAGTCCAAGGCCAGTTTCAGCAACTTAATGGGGCCCTAAGCAATTTAATGAGATACTGCTTCAAAATTTTTTAAAAAGTGGGGACGGGTGTGTGTGTGTGTGTGTGCGCGTGCGCGCGCCTCGGGATGTGACTCAGTGGTTAAGCACTTCTGGGGGTTCAATCCCCAGTAACAAACAAAAAACCAAACCTTTCATAATCAACAACCAAGAGATTAGTTAAATAAAATTATGTCTATTCAATGGAATAATACATTAAATTTGTTATGTATCAGAATACTTATTGACAGGGCAACATATTCATGATACATTGCTAAGTGAAAAAAAACTGGTGATGGGGCTGGGGTTGTGGCTCAGCGGTAGAGCGCTCGCCTAGCACTTGTGAGGCGCTGGGTTCGACCCTTAGCACCACATAAAAAAAGAAAAGAAAGGTACTGTGTCCTACTTCAACTAAAAACAAAAAACAAAACAAACAAAAAAAGAAATCCAAACTGGTGATGCCTACAAAATTTAATTTTTTGGTACTAAAAAGAGGTTGGGTTTGTACACATAAAAGTATGGAAGCACAAACAAATTGTTAATAGTAATATTTTTTGGATTGAGACATAATGTGCAATCTTTATTCACTATACTCAGTGGTTCATAACCTTACTTTGGTGACTAATAAAAAGGAGGGGGGAATTATTGTTTCTCTTACTCTTCCGAGGTATTACTTGAACATTGTTATAATTCCTGCTTTTTGTCTAAAATACTGTCCTATTCCAATAAGGGTCTATTCTCCTTGGGAAGAAGACGTAAGGAGAGAGATTAACCAATGACCACCCTCAACAGAATATGCAAGGGCACATAACCCTAACCCTAACCACTGTGTAATTTTAAGAAGGGATGGAATCACCACTCAAGTCAATGGACAAAGAATAAATGCCTATTATATGCAAGCAATTTATTTAAAATGTTTGCTTTTCTAGTACAACTTGAATCATTTCTCTAAGGAAAGAAATTGTCATTCAAGAGATCTGAAAGTTGAACGCAAATGAGTACTAAACGACCAGCAAAAAATTAACACTCAAAAATGAATAATACTTCACCTCCAATGACGCCAATACACAAGTAAAGTTCCGATACAGTGTTACAGAAAGAAGCTGCAATCAAGCCACAGCCAGACAAGCAGCCACCAATAATCATGACTGGACGGCTGCCGTACTTATTCACCAGGATACTGCTGATGGGACCTGGGGGAGAACAAAAAATTTAATATATAGGAACCATATTCCCTCATATCTACACAAGGCATGAATAACAATAAAGAACAAGTCCTCTAAAATGGCAATGATAAGAATCTTTCTATTATTATCTGTGAGTCATATATATGTGTGCTAGAAAATAAAGACATTTCAAGATTTAATAAAATACAAAAGATCCCAGTCCATCATTAATTTTTTTCTTTTAAGGCATTGGGAATACCTTGTTAATGAATGTTCACAGGGAACTTGATGCACGCAGGATGATCAACCTATGTATAGTAAGTTTGCTCTAGTTTCAATTTTTGGGCAGGCATTCTGATATGATGAGATGTAAGAACACATCTGAGTAGGTTTCTAATTTTAGTGCATTATTTATACATTACAACCAATGTGGCTTGTGTCACAAAGAAAAAAAAACAGACAATAATACATAATAATTTTTTTTAAGTTTAAGTTTTCCAAGTAGGTCATTAAAAAAAAAAATTCTCATATGTCAAGAAATTTGTAATGTTTTGAACAACCCACAATAAAAAATTTAAAAAAAAAAAAAAAAAAATCTCAGTTACATCTAGATGTCTCAGGTATTGAACTGAATACATCTTTTATTTTTCAATTACTATGTTTCAATACTGTGAAAAAAAGCTTGTAGAAGATCAAGTTAGATAATAATCAATTTTATAAAAGTAGTTGTAATGAGACTCCAAAACAAAAAAGGGCCAGGTGTGGTGTTATGCACCTATAACACTGCAGCTCAGAAGGCTAAGGCAGGAGAATGGCGACTTCAAAGCCAACCTCAGCAACTTATGGAGGCCCTAAGCAGCTCAGTGAGAAAGCACCCACCCCTGGATTCACTCCTCAGTACCAAAAAAAGGCGGTGTATGAAATGAAAGGTTATTTGGGTAACCAGATTAAATTCTCAGCTAAACGTACGAAGATGATTAGTTTTACTTGAACGGGAAAGAACCACATGAAAAATAATCAGAAAAAGAATTTTATGTATAAATTTTCAAATACAGAAAATATGGCCTCTCACTTGCTATGAGCAAGTACAATTTGCCCCCCCCCCCTTTTTCCTTTTTTTGGTGGTACTGGGGATCGAACTCAGAGGCACTCAACCACTGAGCCATATCCCTGACCCTTTTTTGCATTTTATTTAGAGATAGGTTGCTTACGGACTCGCTAAAGTTGCTGAGGCTGGCTTTGAACTCAAAATCCTCTTTGCCTCAGCCTTTAGTTTTACTAAATATATTTTTATCCTTTTGAGATTCATTATCATGATGATTGGATTTTCACACCATTGTGTGAGATGTGCCTCTTTCATCAGTCATGATGTTGGCACAGTACTTGTCTGATGTAGAGGGAAAACAAAAAAAGGGGGGAAAAAACTAACAACATTAGTAGATTTTTTTTTACAAAATGGAGTAACATAGATTGAATTTCATTTATTCATATTTATAAAACTACTTGTGTCATATGTCATGCATATGGATTATGGAAATGATAACTAGGTTTACAGGACACATCAGTCTATCTGGTTAAGGTAGATGACTGCAAATGGAAAAGGCTCAATGCAATGCCTCAGTAGGGAAGAAGATACAAGAAAAGAACCAATACTAGAACTTGCAAAGTCACAAAGCTAGTGAGAGCCGAGTTTCACATCTAACCTATCCCCACTATCCTACTACAGTACTGTGTAGTTTTGGAACAAAGTTATACTGCAGAAGACACAAACCACATTTCTATTAGCACAGCACATTCTGACCTTACTGTGTTTCTTTCTATACTTAGCTCCCCTAGAAGACAATATGTTTATTTTAAAAATCATAAACTGACTCTACATATTCAGAATACACTGATAATATATGCTAGTATTTATTATTCAGAGTTGCCACATGGTATACTAATATTAAAAGGACAAGCTCTGATCCAAGGGAATCCTAATTCAAATTATGGCTCCATCACTTTCTTCTCTTTGTTCCCCAGAGGTAGTGGTGGTAATTGTTACTATTTTTTATTATTAATTATTTGCAGTACTGGAGATTGAACCCTGGGCCTCACACCTTGAGGTTATTATGAATTTACCTTTTAGGGTTGTTGAAAAGAATAAAAACGAATTCACATGTGAAGTGTTTAGTAGGTCTTCTTCAACAAATATTGGTAGTGATAATGATAACATTAGTGCACATGCTTATGCTTTTGTGCACTTGTTTGCACGCACTCTCTAATCATCTGACACAGACATATGTATGCATAATGAGAGGGAATCAAGACTTGATTATCCTTGTGTCTCAGAGGACCAAGTCTAAGTAAGTGGCTGAGTCAAGGACTAGCTGCCCAAAAGGCTCCACCCAGAGTGTGTACAAAACAATTTCCACTGATACCTTCTAAGTCACTGCTATAGTCTGAATGTTGGTGTCCCCTCAAACCTAAGGAAACCTAACCCCTAAAGGAGCAGTATTAAGAGATAGGGCCTTTAAGAAATAATTAGGTCATGAGGGCAGAGCCTTATGAATGGAACCAGTGTCCTTGTAAAAGAGGCCTGAGGGTGCTTGTCTTCCCTTCTGTCATGGGAACATGCAGCTAGAAGTAACCATCTATGAGGAACAGACTCTTAACAGATACCTGAAAAGACTAACAGTCACTTAATGAAAATATTAGGTCCCAGGTAATTTGAAAATAATCTGAAGTTATAGCTTGCGTGAGACTGAAAAACTGAACACTGAAAGAATGTTTGCAAAATGGTTCCATATAAATCAGTAATGAGATCTTTGTATAGTCAGAATTACAAAGATTAATATTGCTATACTGTTGAGTCTATGAGGTATAAGTTAATACTGTAAATTTTGCATTCAAAATTCCAAACCAGAGTATTAAGATATTCATTGTGAGACAGGTGAGGTGGTGCCTATAATTCCAGCAGCTTGGGAGGTTGAGACAGGAGGATTAAGTTCAAAACCAGCCTCAGCAAAAGCGAGGTGCTAAACAACTCAGTGAGACCCTGTCTCTAAATAAAATAAAAAAATACAGCTGAAAATGTGGCTCAGTGGTCGAGTGTTCCTGAGTTCAATTCCCCCACAAAAAGAAATTTATTGTGGTACTGAAAATATGTAAATTGAAGCTTTCATATTAAAAAAAGGAAAAACAAAAAGTAGGCAACTAAGATAATCTCCTAATAATATACTTACATTCTTAATAACTATCGGTACCTATCTCTTACCCAAAGCACTAAAAACAAGACGATCACTCACAGCTGAAATCATACTACCATTTAGAGTGTAGTCTTAGTGCCCAAGATAAAGGATTATGACAGGGCTGGGGTTGTAGCTCAGTGGTAGAGCACTTGCCTCTCATGTGAGAGGCACTGGGTTCAATTCTCAGCACCACATATAAATAAATAAATTTAAAAAAGGTCCATCAACAACCAAAAAAAAAAGGATTATGACAGCTGTGAGATGAAAATTCTTAGGGGACATATCACTTAGAGAAACAACAACAAACCATTTAATAAAACTTCTGCCACACAGCTCATGATAGGCAATTTGTCCTTCAGAGTTATTTAAGGAATGATGGCCCTAATTAGCTATAATTAAAAATAGAAAGCGGTAGTTTATAGGCCTATAAGACAAACTCAGAAATGTGCTAGTTATCTCACTAACTGGGTGAGGACAAAGAAGGAACTGTTTCCCCTAAAGGAAAGTGTCACATGCAATTAGCACAAGTGACATCACTTACTTTTGATGCAAAATACAAGTGGCTCCCAAGCTCTTTGGTAGTTTAGAATTGCAACATGTGAACCTCTGATTTGTAATCAGCTTAAAGATACAATGAATACCTGAAATGCCTCTGGATAATACTTATGCCAATTTCTTCAAGTCATCATACTCAAAATCTGGTTAGAAACTCTGGCAGATTGGAGTTCAAAGCCTGTAAATTATAGGCGCTCAGAAACTACAAATGTCCAAAGTCCAAAGTTTCTGAACTTAAAAAAAAAAAAAGTACTACAATTTAGCCCTTAGTTTCTTTTAAAATGTATGTGAAAGACCTAACAGGCCTATCTTAAAATTGTAAAAAAGCAGAAAAAGCTACATGGTGAAAAAAATAGGTATTCCCACTCTTGTTCCTAGACACCCAGGTTATCTTCCTCCAAGGCAACCATTTTATCTATTTCTTCTGTGAAAATTTAATAATGTGTAACTTAATTATGATTTCTACTACATATTTCTGCTTCATAAGCTTATATTATTATCTCCAAAGAATTATAAATTTCTCAGAGGAAGAGATCAGGACCAGTGTTCTTTATTATAACAAATAGCTCAGTGCTGAGTATACTCATGGAGCCCAGTAAGTACTAGTCCAATCTGCTACCAGTTTAGCAGCCAAAGGCTAAATTATTTGCAGGTTAAGTGTAGAATCTTTTCACATGCTAGGCAAGCACTCTACCACTGAGATACATCCCCAGCTCCTAGAATCTTTATAATGGCTATTAAAGATTTACATGTGAGTTTAATTGGAGGCAATAAATTGCTAACAATGACAAGATATAACAGAATTTTGTCTAAACAAAGAAACGACACACTGTCAATCCCAATAAACAAAAGCACTTGGCTCTAGAATTCTTGCTAACTAAGCAACTACATATTTTATTATGGTAGGTTTAACTTTTTTACATGTTTAACTGTGATTTGATGTCTCATAGTCAAGCAAACAGTATTTTAAATAATATTAAGTAAGCAATTTACTCTCTACATAGCTTTCATAACATGCCAAAGAAAACAGAAGGGAAAGAAATGATAAAAACTCAAGTTTAAAGTACAAATGAAATGATTTTGGGATGCAAATCACAAGGAACAAGGGAAAGTTCTATTAGTTTTTTGATTTTTTAACATCATTAAAAGAGATTTTACCTGAGACTTTGAATTATTCTAACCAGGTTATTTTAGTTTAATTCTTCCAATATCACCTTTAAAAAATATGTTTACATTTCAATAATCTAAAAAAAAAAAGCTGCATACATATAATTTTTATGAAACCTTTTGAGCTCAATGATACTTGAATGGGGCAGATCACAGCTGTTCACAATTTCTTA